ATCAAATCAAAATCAACAGTTTGAAAAGGCGCGACAAACAAGGCGCCATGCTTTTTGTTGCTTTCCAGTTTTTGATTTTGCATGAACTGCGACTGCTGAAAATTCCTAATATGGTAAGCACACGCAATTACTCATTTTAAAAAGCGACGATAAGTAAAATCAAAAATAATCAACATTTTCACGACTTTTGCTACTTCGACTCAAGTTTTTTAAACACTGGTTATAGTCATTTCGTAAACATGGATAAGTCTAGGAAATATAAGAGTGGAGCTGAAAAGCGCAAATTAAAAAAAAATAAAGACGAACGCGATAAGCAACTGCTTTCTAAAATACCGAAACTAACAAGCCACTTCGCTAATGCGACGACAACTGTAAACGAAGCAAATTGTGACAATCCTGAGTTTTGTGAATCTACTTCTGATACTTTTTCAATTCCATCAACGTCAAGAGAGGTTAATTTCCAACATGTTGACAGCACGATCGAAGGTGTACAAAATCCGGACGATGTCGAAAGTTCGGTGAATGTATCAAAAATTTATGAAAATTCCACCAATGTGTTTTCAAATTACCCAGGTTTGTGGCCTATTCAATTCAATCAATCAATCGTTCAAACTTATTGGATTAAGAAGGGTATGCTATCGTTGGTATTTCAATATAAGAGTAAAAAATTAACACAGAATACTCTTATTTAGGTCCCTCGTCGTGTCGCAATATTGATTTGAACGCAAAGAAATCTGGACAAAGAAACTTTTCTGAATATCATTTGCATCGGGTTTTACCAAATGGAACACAGACCGAACGTGATTGGCTGATCTATTCGCCGTCAGTCGATTCAGTATTTTGTTTTGCTTGTCGCTTGTTCGGTAATTTAGACGAAAATGCAAGTTCATTTGCTCTAAAAGGTTTCAATGACTGGAAACATTCAAAGCGTGGTATTTCAATTCATGAACAATCTCATGATCACATGTCCAACAATGTCAAATACAATACGTTTTGGCAATAGAGGAAAAGGTATACTTCTTCAAAATAACTTCGAAAATGATTTGTCTCTTCATTTGGTATGTTTTTTTTTGCAGGAAGAGCTTCGTACCTTTCAAGTTCAATATGTGATGAATTCATATCGATTATGGGAAAAGGTGTGAAGGAAAAAATCGTTTCGGAGATAAAAGAAGCCCGTTATTATTCATTTAGCATTGACTCTACTCCGGATGTGAGCCATACGGATCAGCTGTCACTATGTTTTCGATACGTAAAAGGCCGTGACATTCATGAACGGATTATTGCTTTCATTCCAATTGAAGGTCACACAGCAGACTACCTTTTGTCTATCGTTTTGAATTTCCTAGAGGAGAGTAAAATTGACATGCAAAACTGCAAAGGCATTTCATTTGATAACGCTTACAATTTGGCTGGAATTTATGGTGGCCTTCAGCGTTTGATTCGAAAAATTGTATGGTTTTTTTGGTTATTCATCTTTTCGTTGGAATCGACTCAAAGAACAATTGTCCGAGAAAGGCGAATTTATGTTAAAGAGAGCAACTGGCACAAGGTGGTCGGCTAAATTCCAATCAGTTCAAGCTTTGCACTCATGTTACTTGAAAGTGTTAAGTGTTTTGAATTCTCTCATTTCTGAAAAAAGCCTCAGTGAAGATAACAAAGCATCGGCAAAAGGTTTGATAGCCAAATTGTGCCAATTTAAAAATATTTTAATGCTTGTCTTGTGGAAAAGTGTTTTGACTAAATTTAACTTTGTAAATTTAGCTTTACAAAAACCAAATCTGACTCTTTCGACGATCACAAAACTATATGCTTCAATAGTTACAGATCTTGAAAACAAGGATTACAACAAAATTTTCGATGAAGCCTTGACAATTTTCGACAATATTCCTTCTGATTTTCAAGCAGATTTTATTCAGTCTCGTTCAACAGCGCAAGCACTTGTTCCAGAAGATGAGAAAGAAAATTAAAAAAAATCGTTATTCGAACCTGTTATCGATTCTCTGTTATCAAATTTGAAAAAACGTGCTGATATTTATAATGATTTGGAAGACTTTTTCTCATTTTTAATAAATTTAAATTCAATGAGTGACGAAGACATTGCTGTATCATGTAAAAAAGTAGTCGAAAAGTATCCAAATGATCTCAATGAAGTTCAACTAACTGATGAATGTCAATTTGCCAAAAATTACTTTACTTTTGATAACTTAAATCATGAATCGATGTACAAGACAATGTTCGATGATCATCTTTGTGAAACTTTCCCGAATTTAGACATTTTATTACGCATTTATTTATGCATGTTTGTCACTAATGTTACAGATGAAAGATCATTTTCAAAATTGAAATTGATAAAAAATTGTTTGCGTAACACTATGGGAGATGATCGTTTGAACAGTCTATCAGTTCTTTCCATTGAAAATAACTTGTTGGATGAATTAAACTTTGATGAAATTATTGATAAGTTCGTAACACTCAAGTGCAGAAAAGTTGTGGTTTAATTTTGTTAGGCAAATAAATAAAAATCTATCATATTATCATACGAATATTTTTTTTCATTGGCCCCCTTGAGTCCGGGGCCCTGGGGCAATGGTCCCAAAATTTGTTCGATAATCCGCCACTGATATATACCCAGCAAAAAAAAAACGATTACCACAGAAACGAAAGTGGAAACGAGCTAGGCGATGGGAATCGCTTACCCTGTCGCTTCAGGAGGGCCTTCTTTTAACATGGGCATGTCATTGGCGGTAAGCCCTTACCCGCAGCATTACCTTCAAACGAAGGGAGAACGCATGGATAAACAGAATTCAGAGAAGCGAACAAAGAATGCCTTACAGACAAACTAATGTAGAATGCCTAGATAAGTACATACTTATTTATATTGAATTGAAATCAGAAAATGTCTTAAAAGATTAAAATTAATTAAAATTTGTATAAATCAGTTTTTATACATACATACGGATGTATTTAGGTATTTAGATTTTACTTAAAAATCGGTACGTACATACATACATGCATATTTAATTAAGCTTAAAATTGTACTTCCTCACTCTTGTACTTCACTTCATCGACTGACTTCAACTCAGTGATCGGACTTCTACCACATTGTGGTAGATCTGCCACTTTTTTGAGCATCTACCACACAAGGTCTGAAATCTACCACATATTCACGTTTATAAGTAGTTTAGTTAATTCTAAGAGCAAAAATTGTCCAACACTAAACACTAACAACATGCAAAATGTGAGTATAAAATAAAGTGTAAAATAGTACATTTTCTCAATATTAAATTTTTTGACAGGAAATGTGGTTTTATTGGCTTACATTGCAAATATATGATTTATAAAAAGAATTAATAGCGAAAATGGTAAAAAACAGCGATTTTTGTGAAAGTATTAGCAAATTTCAGTGCATCTAAAGTTTCTTAAGCGTTCGTTACTTTTACTTGAGAGTTTTCAAAATCGACAGATCCCAAGTAGCGTTTTCTGAAACGTGCCACATTTGTTCGCTACATCGTTAGGTTGCAGAAATCTTCCGAAATATTTTCGAAAAATATCTTGATATGGAAGGAACTACTTTACACTGTTAAGGAAAAAAATTGCAAAACTCAACGAAATTTTTGCAACTTCAATCTTGCACTTTATTATACTATAATTAATTTTTTTTAGATTCTAATTAAAATGTTTGCAATTTAGGCGATACCTTGCAGAATATTTTTAATTTTTGTACAAATTTTGTTCCAAAACATGAGATCTACCACATTTTTTTGAAATCTACCACATTTTTTTCCAGATTCTACCACACAAATTTTTTTTTAAGTGCGATCACTGCTTCAACTTCGTTGCAAATTGAACAAACCGAAACATGATTTTTATGCGAGACAAATTTCCACAGAAAGTAACGGTAGAAAAAGAATTTTTGGGATACTCATTCTATTTTTCAGCAGACTACGATGTAGCATTCTACTTTGCATTCTCCAAAATGAAGCGAAATAAAAAAAAATATTGTAGGACATTCTACTTTGCATTCCCTGAAATGAAGCAAAGAAGCGAAATAAATAAAATATTGTAGGACATTCTACCTTGCATTCCCTGAAATGAAGCAAAGAAGCGAAACAAATAAAATATTGAAGGGCATTCTAATTTGCATTCACCGAAATGAAGCAAAGAAGCGAATTAAAAATGAAATATTATAGGACATTCTACTTTGCATTTCCCGAAATGAAACAAAGAAGGGAAATAAATAAATTATTGTAGGACATTCTACTTTGCGTTACCGGCAATGCCTAACAGAAGCGAAAAAATTTGAAGGCATTATACCGCTATGCCTTCTAGAACACGTTACCACTAAAAGCGATTACCGATTTTTTGCTGGGTATGTACTGGTACGGCCGCTGAGGTGTAGTGGTAAGCACTGTGCGCTTCTACTCCGCAGGGCCTGGCTTTAAGTTTTCATCAAAGCAACATCGCAAAAAATTTAGAAGAAGGGGTTTCCTTAACAGCGGTTGCCCCTCGGCAGGCAATGGAAAACTTCCGAGTGTATTTCTGCCATGAAAACCAGCTTCTCATAAAAATACAATCGCTGTTCGGAGTCGGCGTAAAACTCCAGGCCCCTCCCTTTGTGTGACATCAAGGCGCACGCCACAAATCGGAGGAGAAGCTCGTCCAAACACTAACATATGTGTAAGCGCCAATCTATTATTATTATTATTGTATATATATTTATTTCTTAACGATATTTCGATTACTTTTTGCTACTAAAACTGGGTGATAGCAAGTTCTGAAGGTTATTACTAAGTCTTTGACATATATTGTGGAAAAATCATTGGAAGCTCATAGGATCATCTTGGATATAGAGTTGTCAAATCGCTGTTATCAAAAAATGTGAGGTGTTTATATTCGTAGCAAGAAATGGTGGTGGGTTATGCATCTCCACGTACATGCTTGATATGAGTATATATAACCGGTGGAGTCGACATGTTTTGTCGAGCGGAGATTCTTTTCGACCAATTAGCTGTTAGAAGACCCATTGTTCGAAAAAAGCCACCCATCCGGTTCTTTCGTAGCATATCCAAACCCAAGGCATAACGGACATAACCCAAGCAAGTTTCTGAAGCAGCTAAGCAGTGTTTTGTGTCATGAGGTTATAATATGGCAGTGTACAGGATGCAGAAAAAACGTTATGCCTTGTCAATTAATGTTTTAAAAATTAGCACGCATAAGTGCCCGCTGTACTAAAAAAAGTACACTCCCAAAAGTTAACTTTTAAGCTTTTTTCGTTAATTTTAATTCCTAAGTTTTTTTAAAATAGTTTTTATGATCACATAAATAAAATTAGATATAATGAAATTTCAACCATTTTTGTTTGGGCGTAAATGGGCCGTGCACTGAAAAACTGGCCCTTAGAAGCCAGCTTTCTGTCAGTCAGGGATCTAAGTAAGCTTAATTCTTGTCAGCAGGAGCTTATTTACGCTTAGCAGGGGGATTCTAAATAAATGAGCATAAATAAACCTTAACAAATCTCTGTTCAGTCTTGTCTGTTCATTTGAAAGAAGCGATATGTTCGAGTGCATTCGATAGGAGCCCACATGGATCAGTATGCATTTGGTTGGTATAACTGCAATGGTGAAAGAATTCCTTGAAAATTTATTTAGCGCAGTTGAAAATGTACCGAAAATCGTCTTTATGTATCGAATGTACTTTCAAATTATAAAAGGGCTGAAACAAGTAAAATTGTACCTACTTTTCCATCACTGCTTCACAGGCGCGCAGTTTTTGTCGAAAATTAAGCTGATGTCACATAAAACTTTTGCTTCGCTTTACGTGACAGATTCGCTTTGACAGATAAGATGAATTGTATGAAAATGCACAAAGCATGCCACATAAATCGTTGAAGCGGCAGCGCGAAGCGAAAAGATGGTCAACTCCCATCCTTTTGCGCGCTTTGACAATCAGCCGGTTTAATATTTATTTTGTTTCGTCCAAATTCGGGTTTTCATGCAGAAACAT